TAATCTGCAGATAAGATAAGGACTTATCCTTATCTCTTAAAGATGACTCTTTATCCAAATACAGATTTGGATTAGGAAACTCCTAATGAGATTAGAAGCTCTCTTTAAGCCTATAAAAGGAGGAGGGGGCGAACCATTCAGCCCATCCCAAAAATCTCAGAGATAAGATCTCAGAGCACCCAGAGAGAAGACAACAACAGTGTGACTGCGCCATCTTCTCCCTGCGTTTTTCCTCCAGTTGCCGCCATAGCCAGTTCGATTTCCATTGTTGTAGGAGCGATCAAGAAGCATTCTTGATATCAGTTTTGGTGAAAAATTGATTGGGAGTCGTGCTCACCCACCCTCCAGCGAATTCTTGGTGAAGTATTTGGTTCTTTGGAAGAACACTACTGATTCTGCTCCACCCTGCACTGTGTCATCTTCAGTGGGAGCAGTCTTTGGATCCTTCCTTGGGCGTGAACACCTACATTGGAAGATATTATTTCTTCGTATCAGGTATATCCCTCTCCTACTGTTTTGGTTCAGATCTGGTTCGGTTCTTGGTTCAAGATTGATCCTTGAAAAATGCAGTTTTTCTAAATATAGGGAATGTGATTCCCACATGGGAGAGAGAAATTTTTGAAATTTCGCCCTACCTTCCTGCAGGGTTCGGCCATCCATATGATGGATCTCTCATCCCTTCAATAATTGGGTTCTATTGGAGTGAAATGAAAAAAAAAAAATTAAATGGTTTACTAGGAATATGAACTTGAGGATACAATGGTTGAGGAGATTAGCAAATGGGATGGTAGATGCTTTGGCCAAGCAAGGGGTGAATAGGACTCATTTGTTTTGGGCTCAAATGTAATTTGTTTTTGTTGTTTTATAGAGAGATAGCATCTCATGCCTCTCTAAGGGAAGCTTGTAAAATTTTATTACCTTAAGGTTTAATAAAATTTAAAGTTATTTATAAAAAAAGAATCCAAGAGATTAATGGTTTCTTGCATTTCATAGCCCCTAATAAATCAAATT